TCAGTTTACAACAATCAATGTACACAAATCAGTATCTTCCATATACGTCAACAACAGTTAAGCTAAGAATCAAGTCAAAAATGCCATACCTTTCACAATGGTAACAAAGAAAATAAAATATCTAGGAACGTATTTAACTAAGAAGGTGTAAGTCCTCTATAGGGAGAATTGTGAAACACTGTTGAAAGAAACTGCAAAAGATGTAAACAGATGGGGAAATATACCATGCTTATTGATCAGCAGAATAAACGTTGTTAAAATGGCCCTACTACCCAAAGTGATTTATAGATTCAATGCAATTGGAATTGGAATTATCTATGCCATATTTTGCAGAACTAGAAAAAATAGCTCAAGGCTTCATTTGGAACCAGAAAAGACCCCAAATAGCCAATGAAACTTTACATAATAAGAACAAAGTGGGAAGTACACCTTACCAGACTTCAAGCTATACTACAAGGCTATAATAACCAAAACAGCATGGTACCAGCACAAAAAGGAACAGACTTATGGATCAAAACAGAGAACCCAAAGATGAAGTTAACTTCATAGTCTCACCTGATTTCTGTCAAAACAGATAATAATATACCTTGGGGATATACCTTGGGGATAAAAATATACTTATGGATCAAACAGAGAACTCAGAGATGAAATTATCTTCATATTCTCATCTGATTCTGACAAAACAAATAAAAATATTCCTCCTCAATAAATGGTGTAGGAAAAGTGGATAGTCACATGTAAAATACTAAAACAGGATCTGTACCTCTTCACTCACAAAAATTAACTCACAATGGATAAAAGACTTAAAATTAAGGCAGGAAACTATAAAAATCCTAGAAGAAAATGTTGGGAAAATTCATAGATTTTGGCTTAGGTAAAGAATTTGTGAAGAAGACCCCAAAAGAAATAACAGTAACAACAAAAATAAATAAATGAGAACTGAAAAAATTAAAAAGCTTCTGCACAGCCAAGTACACAATCAAAAGGGCAAATATACAACCCACAGAATGAGAAAATATATTTTCATACTACATATCTGATAAAAGAATAATAATAAGAATCTATAAACAACTTAAGCAAATCAACAAGAAACAACCACACTAAAAAGTGGGCAAAAGACATGAACAGAAACTTTTCAAATGAAGATATACTAATGGCCAACAAATTCATGAAAAAATGCTCAACATCTGTAATCATTAGGAAAGTGCAAATCAAAACCACAGTGAGACATCACCTAACTCTAGTGAAAATGGCTCATATTAGAAAGTCCAAAAACAACAGATGCTGGCGTGGATGAGGAGAGAAAGGAACTCTTATACGCTGTTGATGTGACTGCAATTTAGTACAACCTCCATGGAAATAATATTGAGCTAACTCAGAGAACTTAAAGTCGACCTACCATTTGACCCACTGCTATTGCGTATATTATCTAAAGGAAAGAAAAGTCATTTTATGAAAAAGACACCTACATATGAAAGTTTATAAGTGCATAATTCAGATTTGCAAAGATGTGGAAACAACCCAACTGCCCACCAATATATGAACAGATTAATAAAATGTGGTATTTGCATACTATGTAGTATTATTCAGTCATAAAGAAAAATGGTGATCTTAAATCTTTTGTGACAACCTGGACGGAACTGGAGATCATTCTACTAAGTGAAACATCACAGGAATGGAGAAACAAATACACGTACTCAATACCAGGTTGGAACTGATCAATCAACACTTAAGTGCACATATAGAAGTAAATCTCACTGAAAATCCAGCTGGGAGAGGTGAGAAAAAAATGTAGGTAAATTCACACCTTGAGTATGAATTTATCGAGTACAGTGCACACTGTTTGGGTGGGAGGAATACTCATAACCTTGACTCAATTTTTGCATAACCAAAGTATGTAAACACAATAGATGTAACTCCCAATATTCTGAAATTAAAAAAAAATACTTTGTTGTCTATTGTCTACTACTTTATGAAAATCACTGTTATTGTTATTTTTGTTCTAAATCATTATTCTTTACATGAGCAAACACAACATTGTCAGATTACAGAGCATGGAGACCCACAATTATGATAATTAAGAGAAAATAAAAAATAACTCATTCATATTTCTCCAATTCGATAGAAAGCTTCAGTGAAATCCACTGGGCAAGGCCCAGGCCTTCACAAAGGCTTGTTTATTCCCTCTGCCTACAAATTTTCCCTCCACAGAGCCAAATGTCTTGCTTCTTCCCATCTCTTACATTTATTTATGTATTTATTTATGCATTTATTTATTTATTTAGACAGAGTCTCACTTTGTTGCCCTACAAGCACTGGCCACAATGCCCAGCTATTTTTAGAGATGAGGTCTTGCTCTAGCTCAGGCTGGTTTCATCTCTTCAGCTCAGGCGATCCACCTGCCTCAGCCTCCCAGAGTGCTGGGATCACAGGCATGAGCCACCACGTCTGGCCTTCTTCCCGTCTCTTAGGTCTACATTTAACTTTCACCTTCTCAATGACACGGTCCTGACCAACTATTTAAAACTAGAATCCCCCAACATTCCTTATTCCCTATCTCTGCTTTCTGTTTCTCTTCAACAATTACCAATATCTGGCATCTACACTTCATTTACAATCTATCTTCCCCAACAATACAAGCTCCACAAGGGCAGGGACCTGGGTCTGTTTTGCCCCTCCTACACTCCTAGAATATTAACTGACTGAATGAATGAATGATACAGGTGAATTTGCCAGTGGTAGGATTTTCCAGATTGTGTCTTACAGTTACATGTTTATGTGTTATACCCTGAGGAACAGAATCACTAGAAATTTCTCTCGTGATTAGAAATGGAGCCTAGAGTTCAAGGACCTGGAGTTTTGTATTCCTGAAATCCTGAGAGATGAAAGAAAACTTCAAGTGAGGTTACCAAAGAATTTATGAGTTTGGCTTCTATGGATCCCTGAAAAAAAAAAATTTATACTCTGACAGAGTGTGTCGAGGATGCTGCCTTGGTCACAAAACTTTAGAATTTTCCCCAGTGTACTTTCCCTTTTATGACAAAGTTATTCTTCATGCAGTGTTAAAATGAAAATAGCTCTTGTTTTAGAATGACAGTCTTTCAAACATTTGACTTTGCTGTCCTACAGGAAATGAAGGAAACTAGTTTCATTACCTATAAGACAAAGAGTTTTATAGAATGACCTTCCTAACAATAAAAACAAACTAACAAATAACAACCTGACTACACAGGAATTGTTAAGTTCACTAAACAAAAATTACAACTTATCTTAAATTTAAGTAAGAGTAGTGCTCTTTTAACGATAGTGTGCAATTTCTCCCCTTGTGGGTTGAATGATGTGCTCCCTAAATTCACATGTTGAAGTCCTAACCCCAATATGTCAGGAAGTGACGGGATTTGTATTTGAGTTAGGGTGTTTATAGGGATAAGTAAGTTAAAATTAGATCATTATTGTGGGCTCTAGCTCATTCATGACTGGTGACCTTATCCGCAGAAATTAGAACATAGACATTATACAAAAGAAAGACCATGTGATGGCCTAGAGAGAAGGTGGCCACCCACTAGACAGGGAGAGAGGGCTCAGAGGAAATCAACCCTGTCAACACTTTGATCTAGAATTTCTAGCTTCCAGAGTTATGAGAAAATACATTTCTATCGTCTGAGCCACCCAGTCTGTGGTGCTTTGTCCTGACAGCCTTAACAAACTGATACAACCAACCAAGAAATCCCATAAACTTTTTCAGGGTAAAATACTCATAAAGAGGTAGATGTTTCATAGTTGTTTTGTTCTTTCCCCACACCAGAAGTTTCCTTTTCCACAGCCGTCAGTATGTTGATGCTTCAGACTGTACTCCATCTTGTCTACTGGTTCCTGTAAGATCATCAGCTGTACCCAAGAAATGCAGGATGCTAAACATTTCCAGGCAGGACTACAAATTGCATATTCCCACACTCAAACATGAGAGACCTTCTCCATGAGAGATACTGCAAATTCTACATCGTCACCCCTTTTCTCACTACTTCTAGGTAAGAAATACTTTGACTGGCAATAAAACCGAGGGAGCTAGGACACTAATATTTTTCCAAAACAACCAAAACTACTGTCACAGGATCTAGTTTACACATTAAAAAAAATTTTTTTTTCTTCCCTGTATTTCTTAATGTTCATCAAATTTTTAATGTTGAAAGCTGTCATGCCATTTCATAATTTATAAAATCATTTTACTGGTTTCTGGAATAGAATCAATGAATATGAGGGAAACTTTTTACAAGACAGAGACTAAAACAATGACATCACTTCTCTCTTTACACGTCAGCAGCAGCAGCTGAGCGACTCTCAAAGACAAATGAAAGCAGCATTCAACTAATATTTTATATTATTTTTTAACTATCAATTTACATAAAATGGATACCTTTTGAAAATATAGGCACATCTTTTCAAAAAAAAATTATACTTGTTTGATTTTTACATTCACAACTACTCTCCAAATTAGGTAAAGGATTATTATGTTCATTTTACACTAGTCTACTGAGAGACATCAAATTAGTAAATGTCACAGACTGTAAATACATCCTTCAAATAAAGGTAATAAATATAGCCAGAGTTTACCTAAATTTAATTTATTGACACATAACTTTAAATTACACTCAGGTTTTGCCCTGGTTGGTGTGCAGTCAACTTTCAACTCAACAGGAAACATACACTACTGATTCAATTAACATAATGTCTTTATAAATATCCACAAACTAAAATTAGTTTAGTTTAGAAAGAGTGTTTTTATTTTCCATTCCTAACTCAAAATACTGCATCAGAAAATAAACAACAAGCATACCTGAAACTTTAAGGAATCAAATGTAAACAAGACCAAAAGTCAGAAAACTGTTTTGTTAATAGTTGCCAATATCGCAGATTACTAAGTTAATGTTTTTATTGCGGGACAACATGCATAACAAACATTTTAAATTAACATTTAAAATAAATGGAAACTATTTCCTCACCAATATTAGGGTGCTTCAACAGACGGCAGATTCTAGCTTCCCTTTCCAGTTTCTGATGATCTGTTTAACAATGAAAAAAAAAAAAAAAGAAAAGTAAATAACATCAAAGCAAAATGAACCCAAAAAATCACAAAGCAAAATGACATAAAATCTTTACGTTTACTTATCCTTTCATAAACAGGGATCATGTGAAGTTGGAATTAGGTGAACAGCACACAGTTCAACCATCTAATTTTATCTTTCATTGGGTTGATGGTTGATGAAGTGAGTATAACACAGAGTGGAAGTTAGACTTGGGCCGGGGGGAAATGAAACCAAGCACTGCTACTATTCATTCTTATTGCTGCCTTTAATACATACTGTCATGACAACTTAGTAACAAATTAGACATATTCACATGGAGCAGAGGATGCATATCTGGAAATTGGATTACCACTAGAGCCAGTCCTAAATAAGATAACTGTAGTTTAATCACGAGGGAGAAGCACTCCAGTCCCGTCATACATTCTGCATACTGTCTTTGGTCCAACTTCCTGGGTACATAAATAACTCTTGTTCATATCAAGAATTTCCCCCAAGTCCTTAATTCTTTGCTCATCGTTACCTGTGTAGCCATTTCTTTGAAGGTGCATAAACCACTACATACTCTCCTTTTAAGAACTATCTTGATACTCTTCTTTGGTTTTTTGTGGCAGTGCATTCACATGTAAATATAACCAGTACTGCTTAACAAAGCATAAAATAAATGTCAGAGACAGATGAGAACACAGCAAAAGCACCTGTTGCTGATAGTGCTTGTGATACCGAGTAGTTGTTAGTTCAGAGCCTTTACATATGTAGAATTTAAAATTTCAGCCACAACAACCCTCTGAGATCAGCAATATTGTTCATCCAATTTTAAAATACGAAGACTAATAGTGTAGTTTTACACCACTGCCTTGATTCACCCAAAGGCTTCAGCAATTTCATCCACTGTCTCTTTTGCATTTATGATGCAACTCACATCAACACATGTATAAATGTCAACACATTTTTTTAAAGGCAAATTATGTCTTTAAGGCTTTATTCTGAAGACAGTTTAGGCATTGTAGATCCTCTATGAGAGGGCTGGGGACAGTCTAGGTCCACGGACCACATTCTGAGAATCATTGGCACATGCTATAAAGAAATGCTGCACATAATGAAAATTTTGGCAACCTAGAAAAACATTTCAAACATATATAATGGTATTAATAGCTTAAAGTGTCAAAAACAGCTTCTCAATGAATTACCACAGCATTGAATAGGCTCTAGCACTGGAACTATCATATCTGGATTTACCAAAGGCGGATTTTGTGGCTTTACCATTATCTAAAACTACATATATTTAAAATAAATGTGAATTTGTCAAGTCCCCCATCTTCTTAATAGTCCTCATTCTTAAAACAAGCTACTTCTAGAATATTCTTATTTAGACGTATTCAAGTAAACACAAAAAGTTAAACCAGATATTGAAAATGAGCCTAACACCATTATCATAAAGAAACACTGCAAAGTGTTATATGTAAAGCATATGAAAGACACATGCTATAGGGATTATAATTTTGTTATGGACACAGGGATATGCAAATATGTACTATGCTAAACCATTTGGTTATACATATGTAAATCATCTGAAACATATATGATTATATGAAAATAAAGGGGAAAAAAGGAAATAAAGGACATTTAGAGGCAATAAATTCCACAGAGTTTTGGCTTACAGAGTTAAAAGTAATTACAGAATTGTATATAGCCTATTGTTATGGGTTGAACTGTTTCCTCGCAAAATTCATATTTTGAATTTTGAAGTCCTAACCTCCATACCCTAGGATGTGACAGTATTTGGAACCGAGGTGTTTAAGGAGGTAACTGCATTAAATGAGGTCATTAGTGTGGGCTCTTGTCTATTATGACTGCTGTCCATATACAAAAAGGGGACTAGGACACTGACCCACAGAGGGAAGCCCACCGAAGACCTGGGGAGAAGGCGGGCATCTCCCAGCTGAGGAGAGGAACCTCAGAAGAAATCAACTCTTCTGACACCTTTGCCTCGGACTTCTAACTTCCAGAATTGGAAGAAAACAGATTTCTGTTATTTAAACCACCCAAGTCTGTGGTCCTTTGTTGCGGCAGCCCTGGCAAACTAATATGCCTATGTATTAGTTTCCTCTTGGTACGTATCACATATCACAAGCTCAGAAACTCTAAACAGCACCCCACATTTATCATCTCACTGTTTCTGTGGGTCGGAAGCATGGGCGTAGCTTCCCTGAGCCCCTGGCTTTAGGGTCTCTGGCAAGGCTGTAATCAAGGTGTCAGCCATGGCTGGGGGCCCATCTGGAGTCTTGCCTAGGAAGGATCTACTTCCATACTCACGCGCTTGCTGGCACTAGTCAGATCCTCAGGGCTGTGGAGCAGGCAGGGTCAGTTCCCAGCCGTCTGGTGGCTGGAGGCTGCCTCAGTTCCCTGCATAGGCCAACATGGGGATTTCTTTCATCAAAGCTGCTAAAGAGTCTGGGATGCAAAAGGGAAAGTCCCGATCTTACCGAGCCCAAACAGGGAAGTGACACCCCATCACATTTGTGGTCCCTAATTGGTTAGAAGCAAGAAATTAGGTTGGTCCATTTCAAATTTCAATACACAAGGACATGTACACCAGGTGGCAATAAATACTGGGACGTTTTAGAGTTTGTCTGCCACGATAGACTTTATACAGTAATACTCATGAGTTTTCTCTCTGACAAGAAGCTTCACTTGCTTTTTCTTCCATATAATCACATAATTTAATGATTTCCTATGAGTCACAAGGCATTCTGCACGTTCCCATCAGGACAGGTTTTGACATTCCAAACGTGATGATATAACTAAATTCTAGTTTTACTGAAAACTAGAACTTAACAGTAATGTCAATGCTCATCATCTGGTATGTTTCACGTTCAACATCAAGTTCACACGCTCACTTTTAGAAGGAGTAGGTAGACGAGGAGGAGTGATTAAGTACCTGAGACAGTACTACCAGAAAGCACATTTCCGTATTTATCTTGCTAAAGAGATGAATTAGTTTTACACGCAAAGGGTTCTTTACTTTTCATTCAGTCAGCAATAAAAATCATACATCCTACCTCGCCATTCCCAGCTCTCACAACTACAGTGGGAAGAGGCAAAGGCATAATAAAAAGACAGACATCCGTAATACTAGTGGGCACCCTTTGGAGATTTTCTTTTATCATCTGCCGGCCCTGAAGCGGGTGTAGAAGAGTTTCATTTATCATTTAATATTTATTAAATTGCTTGCACTATAATAGTTCGGTTTTATTCTTCCTTTGAAGCTCAAGTTCATGCTCTTATATGAATAAAAATACAACCTTTCAGGCTGTAATCTTGTCAGGTCTGATAAGGTACATGCTGTTGGCAATACCTGGTTGAAGACCTGCCACATAAACAACGCCTTAAGAAAAACATATTATCAATCAGTTTTGACATGATGTCAGTGGGGAATAATATTGCCCAGTACAGAGTCCTCTAGATTGTAAAACGTTCCCTGAGATTTTGCGTGAAATATAGTTATTTCTTCTCAGTTTCAGAGATACTTTTTTTGTGATACAGTGTCTCACTGTGGTAGAGTGTTGTGGTGTCATACCTCACAGCAATCTCAAACTCCTGGGTTCAAGAGATCCTCTTGCCTCAGCCTCCCTAGTAGCTGGGACTACAGCCATGCACCACCACGCCTAGCTAGTTTTTCTGTTTTTAGTAGAGACTGGGTGGTCTCACTCTTGCTCAGGCTGGTCTCCAACTTCTGAGTTTAAGCAATCCACCCACCTCAGCCTCCCAGAGAGATACTTTTTAAGTCCTTAAAATATTTTATTTCAAATGAGTTAAAAAAAAAAAATGTGAATTCAGAGCTAATGAAGTAAATTAGCCCCCATGTCACAAATGAAATTTTAATTTTATGCAAAATAATAACTGATCACAAATGAAAATTAAAGTGCTAGCCCTGAACCACTTTCCCATAGCAATAGAAGGATCACTAAGTGACACAAAGCAACAAGTTACCTATCTGGCAATACCAGGGAAGGGGTCTTTTCATCCCCTTGAATAAGCAAATTTCAAAAGTTACTATTTACTCCCTCATGACCAAGGATTAAAATGCTAACCTTGTGGAGGAAATGTAACAACTGTTGCTTTCTTGCAAGGATGACACATCAAACAACCTCTCTTGAAACCACCGAGTCATCATTGTTAGCATTCATTATTACTCTGCTATAACCCAGTGAAGGCCTCAGAGGCTACAGAGGCGTGAAAACCCACAGGTCCCGGCCTCACCTACCAATTTGGCCCATACCCTTCTGGGTGGAATCACTTTCTCAGCATAAGCAATGACAAGGGAGGGGTTTGGGCCAAGGGGGTGGGGGTGTTAGCCTTCTGCCACTATTGGCCAGTTGCCACCCCTTCTCCCCAAGTACACACACAAATGCATACACACACACACACACACACACGTAAACACACAACCTAAAGAAGGCCTGGTTTGCCACAGCCTAGAGAATTTAATTTATGTAGTACCCCCAATCTTATATGGAAATTATGGACCCTTTGAAAATGGAGTGTTTAAAATCTTGTTCCATCACTAATGTTTGTCCCGCTAGCTCTTCGTTGTGCAGGTTTAAGCTGCCACATTCCCCACTCTTTTCTCCTCCGTCCTTTGCCTTCCTTGGACTTCTATGCTCCAGTTTGATATCAATGCCTTAACTCTGCCTGTTTTTGAGGGCAGATTAATCCTGCTTCTCTGGGTTCTTTACTACAACCAGCCCAATTCGATTTTCAATTTTGTCACCATTGTTCCATTTCCGAGAAACTGTAGTCTCCTTACCCTTCTTGGAGCAACCTAGGAACAAAAGTAAAGGAATGATAGCTGCCCTCCCTCATTTCACAACTGCTGTGAACTGAGAACCAAGCAAAACAGGGTAGAAAAATATAATCCCAAGGAAGCTGGAAGTGAGGCCCTGAGAGGTCCTCTCTTAATGAAAGATATACTTTTT